TTGGATATAACTCGAGAACAGCATCAAGAGTTGTAATAAATCTTAAAAGCAACAGCTGGATCGATGAAAGAACCGCTGCAGTTTTTGTTGAGTTCACTGTTTTTCAACCATCAAGCTCCTTATTTAGCGTTGCAAAGCTTCTTTACGAGCTTTATCCGACTGGAAAACCTGTTACCAAAGTGTGCTTCGATACTCTGTCCATATATGGTTCCTCTAATCCTGCTCTTCGCTCTATATCATTGGCTTGCCAAATTACCCTGCTGCTTTTGATTGTTTACTTTCTGCTGCTAGAAGCTGTGAAGATCTACCGACAAAGTTGTGCATACTTTGGCTCCTTTTGGAACTGGATGAACATGCTACAGCTTATTTCTGCACTGACAACGATTGCGTTTTTTTTCTTAAAGGAAAAGTACGTATCAGCGTTTGTAAAATACGTTCAGGCCAACCCATTTGACACGGCAAGTGCTGACTATGTACTTTTCTGGATCGATCTGGAGATGATAGTTCTTTCCATTGTAGTTTTCATTGTCACCGTTAAATTCTTGAGGATAATTCGTTTTAACAAGCACATTTGCCAAATGGTAGCTTCGCTCAAGCTTTCTTCGCCACATGTCATGTCTTATTCAGTCCTATTTTGCATAAACATAATTTCGTTTGTTCTCTTAGGAGTGCTAGTATTTGGCAATGATATCGAATCTTACCATTCGTTTATGGAAGCGTTGGCGACATTGACTCAAAAATTTCTCGGTGGAGACTTACTTTATCATGACCTTCAATCTTCTAATCGCATTATTGGCCCTGTTTATCTATTTGCCTTCATGCTAAGCATGTCCTTCATCCTCATTAACATGTTTGTGGCTATTCTTAATGAATCCTATGAGAGCGTCAAGGAAATGTCCGGCGGTAAATTTGCAGACGCAGATCTGGGAACATTTATCAAGGAATATTATTTCACAAGATTCAGACGTTTACGCGAAATCTTGAAAAGGAAGCTTGCTAGTTGTGGTTATCGGCACAAGTTGTACGACAGGCCAAGGCAAGAAAAAAAGTCGACTATAAGGGAGGAGTATGTTGGAAGCATTATGTACCTATCAACAGACTATCCAACATACGTGGATTATGTAGACCATTCATCTCAGCTAGCACTGATAAACAACAAACCCGCGGCTGACACAGGATCAGCTTCATGTAGTGTTGAAGCCGTTACTTTGGAAGAAAGAGCAACTGAATTTTCAACTGATGAGCCAGATGTCATTAGCACACCTTCACCTCTTTCAAGCGATGAACTCGATGCGGAACTATTGGACTTGTTGAGCGATCTTCCAGAGTCCGTGGTAGCGCCCTCATTTGCATCTAATAGGGCATGTTCTAATGTGGACTTCATGAGTTTGTTTCGTGATTTGCCCGAGTCTATCGTGGACGATGATGACACAATTGATAATGTTCGTAAAGGACTCGCTGATGTAGGAGCAGTTTTGAGACTTGACGAGCAAACCCTAAGGAGATTTTCAACGACAGGTGACAAGTACATCGTGCAGGCGAATATACAAATGGGACTTCCAGTAGCTGTGCATTTTAGATCGCGACGAAATTCAGATGAAAATGGTGTGGATATCGAAAAATAGATTTAATAATTTCAAAAAGTTAGGAAAAGTAAATGATATCAATATACCAATAACTTTAATGGGAAACATGTTTCCATTCTTATTGTAATGAAAATAATTGAAAACATAACTATTAATTCAAAGGATTGTGTTCATTTTGAATGTCTATCAAGATAACTTTAGGTGTTACAAGTTTATAAGAAATCAGAATGCGAACAAATAAAATAGAAAAGTGAGCTAATCTACACTCTCAGTGCACCAGCAGCCGCTGCATCGAGTTCCCTTTTAGCGACAGAGGACATTCCGAAATAAGCTCTTTTTTTCAATCGATGGACGAGTTAAACAGTTACTATGGTCTTTTGATAATGAACGAGCACGGTTTTTCATTTCCTATTGCATAATTTTAAAAATTAAGAAAAAAAATCAATCGGAAGGAAAAAGTGATATGGCTAAAAGCATGCACGAGGCCTGTTACTCCAGGATGCAAATTTCTGACCTTGAAAGCGACGACTCAAGGAATATTTTGAGTCGATGTCGTTTAAATTGCGGGCTCATACAATGTATGGTCTTTGAAAAAATTTACATGTGCTTATTTATTCCAAATTGCACGAGAAAAATCGCGTGATTACTTAATAATATATATGAAAAAAAAACGAGATAACTTATTATAATTATGCAGAACAAAGCGGGCACATCAAGTGCAAAAACAATTTATTCAAATGCAATAAAGCACATTTTTTCCGGGCTCTATAACGTAACAAGGGCAACCTGTCACATCTCATTGGAACGAAATACCGTTTTTCCTCAGTGTTTTCTGGCCTTCAAAACCACAGCGACACCAGTTAAAGGGAAACGTGAAACCAAACACTTTTAAAAACGACCACGGTTTGGTGAGTGACAATACATCGCTGTGCTATATCTTGGTTAGGTCTTCCTGCTCGATAGCTGGCTTATGGGCTGTGTTTTGTAAAACATAACGTTTTAGTGATTTAATTTTTGCATCAGGCATTTTGTTAGAGAGCACAATACGCAGGTCTTGATGTAATCCTAAGTTTCTAGGTGGTGTGCTAAGATGTCTTTCAATGCCATTTCTTAAGGATCTTGGGGCAGCACGCGTCTAGTTTTTACCCTCTAGCTCTTTTTTTCTGGCTTCTGCGAAGAATAGGCGGAGGTTTTTGCCTCATTCTTCAGTCGTCATCTCTGCAAGACTTACTCCCATGGCTTTTTGTTTACTCCATGATGTACGAACAAGACAGAGAAAAAATTGGCTTCTTCACTACCAAATTTAAAGTAACTTTTTGTATCAAATCTTTGATGGTTAGAATCAAAATCTGCAAAATGTTACCACGATGTCATTTGTAAATTCATGTAAACAACTTGAACTTAGACTGAAAATTATCAAATTACATGCAACAGGCTAAACGATAATTGTGTAGCTTAAATTTCATGTTTGAAATCTTTTTCGAAATAAAAATGAATTTATGAGATAGTAATGGATTGTAAATATTGCTTAATCAAAACTAACTTGCAAATACGCAAACTGCCCACTTATGGTTGCTTCTTTGCTTTTTTTCGCTTAGGCATTTCCGACGAGCGAATCTAGCTCTTCGTTTCCACCTCGGCAAATCTCCCCTTCTTGCTTGTTTAGTCATCTCCGCTACCTGTGCTTTTGTCGCTTTCCTCTGCGTTTTCTGCAAAATTGGTATTTTTTCGACCGCAGAACTTCAAAAGCCTATATCAGATCAAAGTTCGGAAAATCTTCATCCGTCATTATGGAAATGTCGGAAACGTGTCGTAGCTGTCACCGATCAAACGCGGGCTCTATAACAATAACTTGATAAAGCAAGCGCCCGAAAACTGAATTGACCAATCAGACGATGCGCACTATCCTCATCTATGTTATAATTTTTATTCTAGTTCTCAAAACAGAGATAAGTAGGGAAAATTCAAGGAAAGTTTCCAAAAATCGTTCGACCACTTTTATTTCTGAGGAAATGATCTTAAATCTATATCATTTATATGGAACTTTTCATAAAGATATTTCCAAATTTTCTCCCGTTAAACTAATGCACCAGGTCTATTCAGACGAATAGAAAGAAATTTAAAACAATCACCATAGTTTTATATGTCTAAGATGCTTTCAGACCCTTTTAAACCATTTTGGAGAGGTAACATTTGCAAAGAGCTTTCGAATTTGCCAATATGAAGTGAACATAATTAGTTGGATGGTTTTAGAAATTCAAAACATACAGGTTCCATTAACGAAGCCACTTAAGTACAAACTCTGAATATGTTAATCGATTTTATTACATTAATTCGTAATGGATAGGTTTTATTTCATCCCTTGTGCTTGGAGACATCTACACGAACATTTTCTTTACCACCTGCCTCAGCCTATAGTTGGCTTTTAATTATGAATATCAGTCCGACCGATTATCAGGGAAAAAAAGGGTGTTATAAACCTTAACGATTTCTTTTTGGTACAACTGTTTCTCTATCAAGGAAATTCAAATTTGTTATCAATAATTTTATATCTGTTCCACGAATTTCAGCAAAAAATCTCATTGGTATCAAGGTGTGATATGCTAATGCTGTCTTTTCACTTTTGGTTCATCATTTGCTTGTTCCTTTCATGGCCGCGATATTTCGGCAACTTTCACATTTGACATGAGTGTTCAAAAGTGCTTTTTATGAATAAAGTTAATGTGTATCATATGCTATCATTTAAAGGACAGTCAGTGCTTTTACGGAAGTTTTAGCCTTTTTTGATATCGGCGTTGGGGTTTAGGGAGCGAAACAATCTGTATGACAAGAAACGGAAAAAACAAAATCAGCCACTTTATTTTATCAGGTGGGGTAAGCTACGTGGTAAACAAATGTTATCTCGCCGAGCAAAAGTAATACTCTTCATAGCCCGCTAGCAGAAAACAAAGAAGAGTGTAAAACGTACGAAGCCTCTTTATGCAAACAAAGTGATGTAAACCAGGCCCTTGTTTGAGGTTTATTGTTTTAATCGACATGCAGTATGCAGGTGCTGGTGCTTGCATTGTCTGCTTTTTAAAGTTAGACATCTTGATTAAAAAACGATTCTCCGGCTGATGGCTTATAAAGCCTTTTTATGTAAATAAAGTAATGCAAACCAGGCTCTCGCTTACGATTGGTTGTATAAATTGAGATACTGGTTCTTGCACTGTCTGCTTTTGAAAGTTAGCTGTCTTGATAAAAAAACGCTTCTCCAGTTAAAATTTAGTCTTCTTGTTTCAAACCTTCGAGCATCAAATACAGGTCTGGGTCAAAGTTTGAGTTTGAAATTGTCTTTGAAACGTTTTGCAGGTAATGGAGGGTAGAAATTTGACCCTATGTGTTTTCATCTTTATCTGCTGGTTGCCGAACACAATGTCTAATGTCTGCAAAGGTGAGAGCTAGTCAAGGTATTACGTAATCTTAAACCGAACTCATATTTAACTAACAGTTAAAATTCTCCCTAAGAACTTAAATCAAAGGGATGATATTCCGGTGAGTTCTTATTTGGAGAAGGCTTACATAGCAACGTTGAGGAAATTCAAAATTTGTCTCATTTGGAAAGGCGATAAATGACCACAATCTATGACAACGAGGACCTCTGTCCTAGCAAATGTCGCAGACCCACACATCAGTGCATTTGGTTCTTTCCAGCGCCGTATCAGGGTTCAAACAAAAGGCTCGTAGTCTAAGACAATAAGTTTATGTCCTTTTCCAGCTTAAGAATTAAATTCGTCAGTTTTTTAGGATGGTCGCCATCTTAGCTGCCATTTTCTAAAAACGCATCGCGGCTAAGAGCTTCATAGTCATATTTCATTTTCTTCAGCAATTTGCGACGAACCTTTGGGAATGGAAAGCAAGAAAATCAACGACAACCAAATAACTGCATTAAGTGCTTTCAACGATGACTTCGCCAAATATGGACCTCAGCGAGCTCGACTCAATCTGGCGTCTTGGCCCCCCGGATATAGAGCTCATCCAAGAGACGCACGGAATTGCTGGATTAAGGTTAATCTCACAAACGAGAAAATCATTACGGGATTGGCCACCCAAGGATATGGAGCTAAGTATTCTACAGAGTGGATAACAAGTTATATCGTCCTGTACAAATCTAAAACGGGCGAAATGCTGCCATTTAAAACCTTACAAGGAAACACAAAGGTAGGTTGGTCCCTTTTCTGGTTAGTGTTGAAGCAGATTCGTGATTATTATTTTAAAAGATCCCAAACGTTAATCAGTAGGAAAATCCATGGGTGTGTGATTTGAACGTGGAGGAAAGTTGATCATGCCCAAAAGCGGGCTTCCTTTTATCAAACAATGAAGGTTTTCCGCAAATTAAAGCTCTTTTTCGGTTGTAATCATTGGTTTTCCTCCGGATGAGTATTCTCTGTAGCTCGTTAAGTTGAGATCAAATCTGAATAATAAAATATGTATAAAGTAAAATAGGTTCTCGGTAGCTTATACTGTCTTCCGTTATACATGCAATTTACCATAAAAGTAGGAAATAAGCAAGCAATTTTCTTCGATTGAAGGCAAACGTAGATTGTATTATTTTCCACTTCTAAAGAATTTTACTGGAAACAGAGACAGTACTTCTATCAAACGTCACGACATTCCTTTCCCTACTGCGACGTCAGCGATTATGATCATAGCACAAACGTGGAGTAGCAACGTTGGTTTGCGACTGGAGTTATATGGCTGTGAACCAGGTAACGACACTATAAACAAGGCTCAAAAATGAATACAAATTTGCTCGAAATAAGTTCAAAGCTTTCTAATAAAGGCTTAAAAGCATTATTTCTGTCTTCATTATAATTGAAAGATATTAATGCTCATTGTGCTGTCTCGTTTTAGGATACTATTTTGTTGTCTGGCGAATGTTTGACAGGCGGTATTTTACTCCAAGTTACGCGACCTCGACCAGCAATGAATATGTTACCGCTAAGGAAGAAACCCTAAAAGAGGTCAGCTCGTCATTCAGGATCAGTAGAAGGGCGCCATGTACCCTTACAAACTTATTTACCTCTATCATATTCCCATTCTTTTCTGACGAACTACCAACATACTATTATATAATTGGACGCAGATCGTTTAACTTGGCGCTCTAACAAACATACACGCGTACAAATCAGAGAGTAATCTAAATAGACACAAACTGTCTTTTTCCAGGTGGAGAAAACAAGTGCAAATTTTTATTTTCAGGGTTAGTAATTGGGAAATTCATTGCGCATCATGAACAAAATTGGTTTTCTCAGCTGCTTTCGGCCGTCTTGAAAATTTGCAGCTCCCAAATATTTTGTTTTAATATTTATTAATTGAGACTTCAGATCATGCACCTCTATTGTAATTACGATTTAAAACCATTTCTTCCAGATCAAAGATCATCTCCAAGTGATTCCAGGATTTTTGTCAGTTGATTTCGTGGCTTTCACGTGAGTTCTTCGCTTAAAATAAAACAATTATTCACCCTCAGTCATGCCCTTTCACAGTAAAGAGAAATAAATTTCTAGAACTTACAGGCAAAACCTGGTAGCAGTTATAAACCTTTTAGCTTCCTAATCTTTGCTATCCATTGATTAATTTTTAATTATAATTTGAGTTATAATTTGTTGTTAGAACTTATCACATAGCGTCGTCCAGCGGCCAGCGAAAATGGCCGCAATTCGAAATATTTTTCCGAGTGAGGTTTACTGAAAATGACTGGACTTGTGGCTAAAAAGATGTATCCTCATTTTAGCTACTTGACCCTTTTGACTTCTTTCTTTTATCTCATGCTCAAACCTAGGACAACATGAAGGACAACATGAACAGATTATAAAAACCTAGTGATAAATTAATATGAAAGCTAAGTTGATTTCCTCAGGAGGCGTGTGGTTACAGATACTCAATTTAAATTCTAAACAATTACATTTTAAAAAAGTATGTTTAAATATTTTAAGAAACAGAAAACATACAAATGACTTGTGTGCATGAAACTTTAGAAGTTGCGCAGGTGCGACAAATGTATAACCTTGATGGGTTGTACATTAACCCACCTGGAGATTCAAGGCGCATATGGAGTCATAATCAATGTTCTTACAGAGCTTATCGACACATACGAAGTATTTGAAGAGTTGAAGAGTAAGTTTCTTACTTTTTGCGCAATTTTTAAAATTTCTCATTTTTTCCACTTTTCATTTACGTCAGTCCACATAGATCTTGGCTAAGAGAAACAGTACTCACGGCTGAAGCAAAAATATTTTGTTTGAAATCGAGCAGAGAAAACCTGGAGGCAAAGCTGAACATGGACATTAAAAATGGCAAAGCAGTGTTTCGATTTCCAAGTGAGTAAATATTACACAAACGTCATTTCATCGTATTTGATCCTCCTTAGGAGGTTAGGGATCTCACTCTTTGATGTCACAATCTTAACAAGTTTCTTCTTGAGAACGATCTCGCTGTTAAACATTAAAGGATATCTGACGATTGCTTAGTTGTGCTTTATTTGCTTCACGCCTTTTTTTGTCCTTTTTTTGTTTTTGTTTTTACAGTACAATGCAATTGTTCCTATCCAGAAGTGAAAATATCTTTAAATAAGACGCTTACTAGTGCAAAGGTGCTGTACACGACTCAAAATATTACTATTCACGCAACAACAAAACGTGGAAATTGCCACAAGTCCCTATCTTTCCGGTGGGAGATTGCTAAAGCAAGTGATCACCTTGGTGAGTTTGGAATGCTTATTTCGCGAGGCGATATATTTGAAAGCAAAAAAGGAATTCTGAAGCTGAGAGGCAGTGAGTTCGGAGAGGGTTTTCTTTACATCAGATGTGCTGCATTCATTAGAGATTTGGCAGGTGAACTTGTATTGGAGACCTATGACTATGGGTATGTTCGTTTACTTAATCCGCCTCTGATTGCGCTCATTACTGGTGCTACTTCTGCCATAAAAGGAAATGGAAGTGTCGTGTTGGATGCGTCCAACTCTTATGATCCTCTTAGTATACAGAACAACAGTAACGGATTGATTTTCAGTTGGTTTTGTCGAAAAATGGACGGGAAGCTCACGAAAGCGAACACGAGGAGTTGCAATGGTCGATACTCAAAGTCACCTTACAGTACTGGCTCCGTTTTCAGTGTGGATGTCGATTACATGGACGCTAATTATACTTACGTGTTTGAATTAGTTGTCACGAAGGATCGGAGAGTAACGCGGGCATTCCACAATCTGACTGTTACACCACCCTATATAATTTCCTTGATGTAAGTGTAAAATCACCTTCCGTAAAACTAGATCTTTTCATTTAATATACATTTTTTTGCTTAGTTGGGGATGGTATTTCATAATTGATGGTATTGCAACTTATTTAACAACTGCTCTAGCATTCATTACTTGTTTTACAACAGATGTGTAATTAACTGCGGTCGGAAAGTGAGCACAAAAAGGCGACTGATTGTTGAGGCTACATGCAATGGTCCGTACTGCATCCAGGAAGTGAGCTACCGCTGGACATTGTATCACCTCTCGCCATCGGAAACTGGTACCACTTGGCTTAAAGTCCCTAAATTTCGGCAATATGTGCTCACTGATCTAGACAGCAGTAATATCGTCTTTTCTGGCTCAAAGAACCCGCTGAAACAAAACATGAAGTACAAAATCGTGGCTTCTGTTCGTTTTCGTCACCGAATGATGGAGAAAGGTGAAATGGTTTTCATCACAGATACGCCGCCACATCACCCTGATGGTGAGCTGGGATGTCAGACATATCCTAGGGTGGGCATTGTCCTTAAAACAGATTTCAATATCACCTGTTCTGGATGGCAGGACGAGGATCTTCCACTAACCTACCAGCTAAGGTAAGGAACGACTTTTAAAAACTCCTTCATATCTCACTGCTTTAAAACTTGTTCATGGCTCCAAATCACTCATAAGAAAAAAAATCGTGCAAAAGCATTCCCTGATTAGAGTAGTATTTTAATCTGAGGAAATGAAGTGCAACGAAAAATTCAAAGATCTTTATTTGTTCTGAAAATGATGTTTTAGTAGCTTTAAAAATGAAACAATGTCAATGAATCGATGTTGTTCCTTTGTAGTTTTCAATCAATTGAGGGCATTGTCATAATTGCCAGAAGGAATATTTCAAATTTCACAACTAAGCTGCCTCAAGGGAACCAAACCGAAAATTTCGAGGTTAAACTGGAGGTACAGATATTTGATTCCTTTGGCGATGCTGCAACTGTTGAACTGACAGTTCAGGTAGGATATTTACATATTTTTCGAGTTCCATGCCAATATATCCCCAGTTTAGTACCAGGATCCTTTGTGAGGACTTAAAGGATTATACAGCCTGAACTTTTGCCTGAATATGTCCTTGTTATTCATTTTATAATCTTTTAGTTTAAGTATACCAGCGTTGTATCAGAAATACTGGAACCTCACTAGTCACCCTCCACAGTCTGACTTGTTATTACTTTTCCAGCGACGAGTAGAATGTGAAGAAGAGGCTGTCACCGCCTCACTCTAATCTTACTATTACAGTGTCCCTTCTTAAGCTCGTATCAGAAGAATTTCATTTAACAAGGGTCTACTGTTTAAGCAATGCTGTGACGGTTCACCTGGAATTGATAGAGATTAGAAGGCGGACGATGCTCGGTTCTATGTTCCCTTTGAATTTCGAAATTAAGAATTGAGTCCAGTCTGCAACCAACACACCAAAATTTGCAAGCAGATAATAAATATTTTCAGCAAGAAAGGCTTATTTAATATATCTTCATTCATTGTTTCTCTTACCAAAAAGCAGTCGGTAGTACCTTGAGTTCAAGGCAAGATTACGACACTAACGTTGAGCGATTTTCGTATCAGGTGAAGCCACTAAGTGATACAGAGGTCATCACTGAAGTTGATAAGGCTATTCGTGGACCAAACAGTACAACTGCTGAGTTAATTACATCTGGAAACCAACAAAAGGCTGCACTGACATCTTACTTCACTCTTACAGCCACTGAGGGGACAGGAATCTCTCTTGAGGAAAAAGACTCGGTAGTAGAATATTTGTATCAATAATCTGTCCTTCATATTACCGTAAAGCAACAAGAACTACAGTAATTAGTTGAAAGCATTTGTCTGTTCCATGTCATGTTAATTATGATTCATGATTCCATGTGATATAAATGATTCCATGATGATGATTAATGATTCCATGTAGTATACATGAATGCATTGTAATTATCAATGAACTATGTAATATTAATAATTAATCCGCAGATTTCTTTCGCGCATTTTTATGCAAAGTAGTGGTATGAAACGCAGCTGATAACTGGTTTAGGTGGGGTATCGACTATGGGCACTTGCATCAAGAAATTGTTAAAGCGAATACCATTTTCCTAAACTTAAGTTCATTTAATTGCCATTAAAGGCAAAGGATGAAGTCTTGAGACACTTGGCTGAAGTTAAGCCTCGATTACTCGAAGAAGTCACTCAACTTTCGGCAGTGGTTATCAAAGCAACTCGACAAAGAGAACATATGAAAGCCACCTCATTGGTAAGGATACTCTTGACACCAGTGATCTGTACACAGCTATGCAATTTACTTCGGGACTAGGTCAGTTTAAGTTGCCCAGGTGACAGTTAAAAGATCAACTATCAGTTTTTGCGTATACGAATTTCAAAATAACCATATATTTCCAAGGTATTCATGTGGTGGAATATGTGGTGGTGTTTTATATACTGAATGGATCAAGTATATGTATACTTACCGTTCACTCTACGTCAGGTCGTCCCAATCATGTTAGGAATACGTTCCTTAAATGAACCAATTAAAGAGTTTGGTAACCCAAAGATAGGACATCATGTGGAAAAGTTATGAATTGATTGAGGAATAAATCACCCGATTCAAGTTCCGTTGAGCGAAGCTTTATTCCCCTCTGCTAAAATTTGTTTCTTTTTTTGGCCAGCGCTTAAAAAAAACTATGAATTCGATGCTTAGTCGTCTTATTAAAGACTCATAATATCTCCACAGTACAGTGCTGCTACATTACTTCAATCGATGAAAAATCACTTAGATACAGAGACAAGAAAAAGCGAGGATATTGATGAGATACAAATGACTGGAGGCGCTCTACTGAACGGAATGTCCTGTGTTCTTAATATTTTGACGAAAAGTAAAGCGACGGACACAAAACATAACCAACCGGCTGAAAGGATTGATCAGGTAAGACAATTTTACAGATCGCTAAAATTAATGAGAAGCGCCTGAGTACTAGGAGTGAGTTTAAGTCCTCAAGACTACAGCGAAGCCTACAGAGGCATACCAAACCCATTGGTTTAACAATAGACGTTGTTTTCAGACACCGCGCTTAATCGAAGATTCAGTTGCTCTGGTGGATAGTCTGGGCACAGCTCTTCTGTCAACCAAAGTTGTCGGGGAGTCAGAACCTAGCGTGTTTGAAACGAATGCTCTATCCATGGTCCTCGACAGACAAACTCCAGCTATGATTGTAAGAAAACATCTTCATAGCAGAACCAGTGGAAGTGGTGTAGTGTTTCCTACACAAACAGTTCTGATGCAAAGTCTAAAGTTCCCTATCCATTCAGTAGATGCTCAGGCAAGTAACGATCACCTTAATTACATTGAAATGCTATGTCAGAATATCCGATTTCCTCAATCAAGTTTTCAGATTACATCAAGTATTCATGCAAATGTGACCAACTCTCCTAAGATCTATCTTCCGTTTCCTGATTCTGAAACTTATGAGACATGGAAAAAAGATCAGTCTATAAATCTGAATTTAAATTACTCTTTGATACTCTTTATTTCATTATACATGCAAGTTAACTTGCTTTAGTGTGTGCTGTTTAAATCATGGAGTTGACCGCCTCAGAGAACCATGAGGGACACTACTGAGGGTCTCTTATCGTTTTCTTTTTAGATGCTCACATTTAAATATAATCCATTTTATTGGGATAATACGGCCAGGAATATAACAACAGCAATTATAGACCTGAGTATAAAAAGGAACGGAACAGAATTTCATATTTCAGACCTTGAGGAGCCATTTGAACTGTACATCCCCCTAATACAACAGCCTGTAAGGAGAAAAAATAACACGTTCTTCGTAAAACCAAGCCAGACATTTGAAAACATTCGTTATCACGAAATAAGTATTCCGTCAGAAGAAACAGTTGCTATTATTGACATCGTACCCGATGGAAATAATCTATTAGATGTTTTTATCAGCGCTGGAGTAAGACCTACACCAGGTAATTACAGCTTCAGTAGTAAGATACCTCATTATGGAAACTGCAGGATATCTGTCACTGAAACTATGTTGGACCAGCAATGTTCACCATACAGGCTTCTTATATCAAGCAGTCTGACCGGCAAAACAGGAGTGTACTACATTGCCATATTGTTTCGTAAAAACTATTCTATTAAAGGTAATGCGGCAAAAGAAGTCGGCACAGAAGGGGATTTCCCGGTTAAACGCCAGTTGCCATCTCCTAAAGGTGTCCGAAAGAAGCGTTTTTGTGCCGATGTTAAGGATCCTCCAACCACACCGCCGTCAAAACCAAACATGGTAAACTCAGCGTACAATTTGCATGACGTCAATTATACAATGTCCGTGTCAATCAGCAGCTGTTTGTATTGGTCCAAAATGGATAAAAAATGGACAAGCAAGGGCTGTAAGGTAATAAAACAACAAAATGGATGGAATTATCGCTTTCTTTTGACATTCCTCACTTTACTTTTAATTATATATGCAGTCAAATTAGTCCCCTAATTTAAACCACTTGCTGGACGTACTCACGAATGCACAAGGTGTTCAAGAAAAACTCATCCAGCACCTTTCAATTCATAACATCCAAAATGAGTTTATCATCCACATCCCCGAAGTGCCTTGAATGTCACGAATTGAGATTTTCACAGCTGAGTCGTACCTTCAACACTACAAACAAACATATCTTTGTATCTTAGGTTGGCTTCAAAACCAATCACACGAATATCCACTGCCTTTGCACTCATCTATCAGCATTTGGTGGAAACTTTTTTGTCGCCCCAAATCCCATAGACTTTGACAAAGTTTGGTTGGAGTTTAAAAACCTGGAAGAAGCTGGAAACTTCGTGTTAGCAGCTGTGTTCTCTATATATGGAATATATATGTTGGGTCTACTCTTGGCCCGCCGATTCGATCTAAAGGACCAAGCTAAGGTGTGGTTCTAGCAATATTTGATTAAAATTACTCAATTTTTCCTCCTCCCCGCCAGGCCTTCAGCAGTTCTGTACATTACTGATTTTCAGAAACCATTACAATGAGATTTGTATAACAAACAAAGTGCAATGTTAGTACTATGAAGCTAGTTTTGTCCTGTAAGAAATTAAATTAGGGGTAGAGGAAATTAGGTTATCACTTGGGAAAATATCTAACGCAAACGATTGTTGGGTTAGACGAATGGCCTCGATCGGTGTACTTCCTGCTTTGATCAAGATTTTCCTCAAGTAGTTATTATTTGCACTCGGTGAGAATAAATCACAGTATAACTCAAAACACATATGCAGTACTTCTCGTTTTTTTCCCGTTAAAATATATTTAGAAACAGGCTTTTGCTACATTTAGACTTAGTGATCTCCAAAACTTATTGCCATCATTGTTTCCTTTAAGGTTGTGGCAAATGTATTGATGAGTGAATACAACCAAGAGGGTCACCTTTACGAGATACAAATTCAAACTGGCATTTGGAAAGGATTTGGTACAACTGCCACCGTAGGAATTGACATCTTTGGGGAAGAGGGCAGCAGCGGCCCGATCATCTTATCAGCTTTATCGCTCTACGGGAAATTATTTTCTCGTGGAAGTGTAACGAATTTTGTAGTTTTTCTCCCCCGTAGTTTGGGACGTTTAAAAAAACTTCTCATTTGGCATGACAATTTCGGCTCAAGTCCATCCTGGTTTCTTCAGCAAGTCATCATTACTGAATCTCACGAAGGAAAAAAATGGTATTTCTTTGCAAACAAATGGATTGCCATTGAACGAGGGTTAGGAAACTTATGCGTTGAACTAAAAGCATTAGGGGAAAAAGAGCGCGTTGGATATCGTCATTTGTTTTATTCTAAAGCTTCAAGAGGACTTGGAGATGATCACCTTTGGTTGTCATTGTTTACTCGTCCACCTCATAGTCCCTTTACTCGTTGTCAGCGACTGTCTTGTTGTGTATCGTTTCTATTTTTGTCGATGATAACAAATGCAATGTTTTATCAGTTTTCTGAAAATCCAGCACATACCTTTCACTTAGGACCACTGGTTTTAAGCTGGAGACAAGTAGTGATTGGAATGCAAAGCGGACTCATAGCAATCCCTGTAAGTTTCCTTCTTATTACGATCTTCAGGAACGTGAGGACGGATTCTGAAACTTATTCTAACCCTAGTAATACTCAGAGATCGTCTTCTCGTCTGCCATGTTATTTCGTATACATTGCATGGATTCTGTGTGCATTAATAACCCTATCATCTTCAGCATTCACAATATTTTATGGCCTTTCGTGGGGCAATGACATTTCTAACCAGTGGTTGACATCTATCCTTACGTCCGCTTTTGGAGATGTTGTGTTAACTCAGCCTGCAAAAGTAATTCTCTTGGCTATGATTGAATCGCTCAGAACCAGATCATATCCGGAAAAAGAAGAGGTGTGTGGAAGGACTGCTTACATAAACCGAGAACAAGAATATAAGGCTCCAAACGTTCACGAGCTAACCAGGGCCAGGGAAAATGGAAGAAAATTCCTCAAGATGTGGAGGGTGATAAAAGATTTGGTGGTGTTCCTTGTATTCATTCATATCTTGATGGTTGTTTGTTACAGCAACAGAGATTTTAAGAGGTACCTGGTGACTGCTTCGGTGGAGGAAAAGCTCGGCGGTATGAATGAGGTAACTTAAGATATAACATTAATACCAAGGCGTCAAATCAGAATCAAAATAATCGCGGTAATTGAGTAGAAGACGGTGGAACAGTTTTTGTCCGTAACCCGTATCAGCTTACATTACAAGCGCACCATGGCGGGTCAAAAGAATAAGTCCACTATCAGCTTGTAATGGAGAAGCTTGGCTTAATTTACTGGTAATGCCGTGTCAAATTACTCGTTTTAAATAAACAAACAGCAACTCGTCCTGCACCCAAACCAAGAAAACAGAGAACTTAAAAGTCGCAATCAGGCATATGCATGTATAGTTTTGATCACTGATCACAAGGTCGCTGGACTGTCATTTCAGTATATGAAACAGCAAAAGTGGTCTCCCGACATTTCGCACTTCCAATAGGATTGCTTTAAGGAAGTCAGGAGTTCGAGAAATCGTAAAACAGCTGTTTTACCTCAGACGACTACGGCATAAGACCTTTGTTTATATGAAAACTGTCTTATTTTTCACAAGACAAAAAAATCGTACATTTAAATCAAATCAGAACCATGAGGAAATTCTGAGATTTCATCCAATTACGAAAGGAAAAAAAACAACTGCTATGATACAAATCTTAAATTTTGCGCGCACTTTTGTTATCATAGCCCTTCAGGAAGAACAAAATCTATCTTTGTGCTGTGTCAAGACATTCAAACATTCTCTTTGGATCTTTAATTCGACATCGTATAGCAACAGCATTGTGAATGTAGTTTATTGCGAATTTATAAACAGATCCTTATAGAAACATAAATTCGTGAGCATTTTGACTGCACCCTGGTATGCGTATGGCTGAAACCGGTTTTTTATTACCTTAATGCAGTAAGTAGAGTATAACTAGCGTGCGAATCGAGTAAAAATACGCGACGATATTGTACGTTTAGTTGGACAGGTGGTTATTTTGCTAAAACCTGTTTGACAGGTTGGCTACGTTGGCAAGAGGTGTTTCAAATGTTTGCACAGAAAAAAGGAATTGATTCTTAAATAACTTATTCGACGTTTTGGTGTGCAGTCTCACCAAGACTTCTCATGAGATATGTTTGTTCGTCCATGGGTTTTCAAGGTTCTTGAAATGGAACTTATATCTTTAGAGGGATGAAAGACTCGTTCGCAATATCTGGAGTCCCGAAAAATCGAGGTTTGAGGCATCGGGGTAAAAAAAATTCTTACTTACGCACATCCAACGGAAACACATTTGGTTTGAGATAACGGGAGTGTACGAAAAAAATACGATTCCGCGGTGAGTTTTACGAGTACACGGGGTTCTCATAGCAATGTTCTTAAAACACTTCTCCTCAGGTGGCAGACAATGATTTGTTTTGGCTTTGGACAAGAAATAAGTTAGTTCCTGGACTCTATAATGTCTCTTGGTATAACATGCAGCCCTTTGCTTATAAAGAAGGATTTATGAGCAACAAAGCAGCGTTCCTCATAGGTATGCCTCGACTTCGGCAAATCCGTGTGAAGGAAGGTGAGAACTAACGTACCTCCTGTAAAACGCTTTATTATCCAACTGCACAAAGTATAGTACAAATAATGCGCGAATGAAACATAAATATTCTGCGATATTGTATAGTTCGTTATTTTGCACAGTAAAAAAAACCTTACTCTTCTCTATCCACTTCGTTTTCCCGCCTTATGAAAAATTAATAGAAACACTTAGCAGAAAAAAAAGGCAATTGGATCATAAATAACTTATTAAACGTTTTGATGTGTAGTAATGCTAAGTATTTTCACTCGTTGTGTATTTGACTGACCTTACGGACTCGTCCAAATAAGGTACATCTCTCAAAAATACCCAGCGACAATACACACCAAAACTTCTAATAAGATATATTTATCAAATAAGCCCAATTATATTTACTTGCTCTCGAGTTCGAACGACCATTAACCCAAAATTTTATTGATTTCCTATTTCGAAAGTATCACAAATATATAAAAAAATCAGACAATCACAATGTTGTCTGTCTTATCATCTCCAAATATAATTCACTAGATGCAATTACTTTTGAATCCTTCTGACAGAAATAGATATTCATTGCAAGTCTTTCCGTGGGATTCGCGAAAAAGAACGCGGGTCTAAAAAGTGTTCACCACACCATTCCAGAACCAGCGAAGACAAAAGTGCATTCTACCTGCCTGGGTGGATTTCTGTCGAAAATCACACGGTCCATTCTGACAATTCTGTACTTTCTCAACTTTGTCCGAAGCCTTGGAGGTACAAGTCTCCACAGACATTACAAACCCTTCCCTATCAAGGATATTTTAGAACGTACGATGGTGGAGGATATGTCGCTTATCTTGGCTACAATGAAAAATCGGCTTTGGAGATAATACACAATCTCCAAAACAATAACTGGCTCGACAAACACACTGCCGCGATTTTCATCGAGTTCTCTGTCCATGAACCGTCCAGTAGACTGTTTAGCTTTGCCAGGTATCTTTACGAGAGGTTACCAACTGGTGGAAGTGTAACTTCTCGTGACGTGCAGACATGGGCTCTTTATCGAGCTCCAAGTGGCTTTTTCGCTGTATACCAACTGCTGTTTGTCATATTTTCCCTTTTGATCATATTTTTGCAAGTCAAAGAATTTGTAGGAGAAGGCAAGGCCTATCTTGTGCAGTTCTGGAACTGGATCAAGATTTTTCAAGTGTTTACTTCAGTTTCTGCGGCAGTACTTGTGGTGTTGAAGGGAAATGAAACAAGTCTCTATGTAAAGAGAGTAATAAAAAATCCTTTTGACCATTCCAGTCCAGATCATTTGGTCCAGCTTTGTTACGTCGAGAATTATTTACTAGCTATATTAATTCTCATTTCTACGCTCCATTTGCTGAAGCTTCTGAAACTTAATCCTCAAATCTGGCAAATGACGAAGACGTTAAGAAGATCTTGGATATCCCTTGTATCATTTGCTGCGATATTCACTACCTCGCTAGTGGCGTTCTCATTGGCTGGATATCTGGCTTTTGGTATCAAAATATCATCATTTTCATCCTTCTATCGAGCCCTTGTAACCGTTATTCAGATGTGTATAGGTGGAAATGTAAACCTCACTGATGACAAAGTTCAGTGCCCGATAATTGGTTTATTATTTATGTATACGTTCGTCATTTGGATGAGACTACTTTTGGTCAATTTCTTCATCGTGATTATAGTGGAGTATTACAGAGACGTCAGAACAAATGTAACGTCTCCCAACGCGTCGTTAACTGAATTCATGTGCAACTATTTCTCAGCGAAGATAACCAAGTTACTGGAATATCTACCTTTTTACTTTAAAAGGAATGTAAAAAAGCAAGAATTTAAACTCTCTGACGACGTCTTCTGGAAGGAATTTTGGCAAAGAGAGTTCGGTGCGGTGTCTCAAGATCTTCACACTTCACTTCAAAGTCTTGATCCAGAGTCAAGATCAACTTTATCTCAACAAATCTTTGATAATTGTCCCAATTATATAAGTTGCCAAGAGCTCACTAGATCTAGTTCCATAGTGAGCGCCAATAAAGAATTGCTTTCGAACGATACAGAAGGGGAAATCGCACGTTATTGGAATACAAGCGAAGAGGATATTGCCATTCTCCAGAGTTTATCATTCCCTCTGACGACGCCGTCTTCCAACGATACCCAACATGATACGAAAAGGCTATTTAAAATTCGCCTCGTTATGAAGCTGCGTTTTGCTGAATGCTTTTATGACCTTAGTGAGTTAGAGGTCGTACATTTTAAGTCCAACATTGTCGAAATAGCTCAAGAAGTAAAAAGGATGCTGGCTTACTTGAGGAAGAGGTCAGCGCAACATTTTGACAGTTTTCTTTAGTAACACACTTGAATGAATGAATGAAGTTCTTTCTTAAAGTTTCAATAGTATTTAGCTTGAAGAAAA